CATCCCTAAAATATGAACAGTTGTAATAGTTTGTGAGTTGAGATAAATCTGGCATGTTCTCTCTGTTTGTTAACTTGATGATTCTGATTGCATTTCTGATAAAGATGCTTGAGATACAGATCCATAGGGCCATTTTTTTTCAAGTGAAATCAGGCTGTTGAGGTTTTATTTGAATGACAAAACACAGCCTGTAATCTCTTACCGCTTGATTTGATTACACCAGAAGTCTATCTAACCCAGTTTTTTGCACATAGCTTGTTCAACAGGAAAGAGGAAGTAATGGGAGACACTAAATTTGTGATTTCAGTTTGCAAGCACTACTTCCCCTATTGGAATGATGGGGCTTTGCATAGGCTACACTAAAGCGTTCTTGAAACGTAAAATTGCAAATGTCTGCATTTGTAGCTTTGGTTTTACTTCAAACGGTTGATTGTTGTCCATGTAACCTTTTGACAGATCACAGGATGTTTACTGAGCCTATATGATTATGTTTGTTTTAATTAGCATTACTCCACCTCAAGAGGAAATGATAGTCCCCCCACCCACAGCAGTTAGTTTGTGTTCCCATTTGAGCTTTCTGTGTTTGTATGCGCACTCAAACATGCGTGTTGAACCCTCAGGAGATCCCCTTTAGCTTTCCTGTCAAATAATCTGATGTGCCCTTCCCCTAAAGCCTGATTTTAATTCACAATTTCTGTGAATCTCTACTCGCTGTATACCTGCTGATAATGTACTGAGCTGAGCTGTAGTTCGGCGGAAAAGCGTTTCCAGATTTTTGTGGTGTTTTGAAACTCTCGCTCCTTTCATATGTGGTCTGAACACAGTAATTAGGGCCCGAGCACCAATGGTGACAGGATCCTACTGGAATTGCTCTGTTTATTGAGTTTTGATATGCTTTCTGGTCCTTTTTTTTCTGAGAGGAATTTTATTTTGATAACATTCGGATGGAAGTGAAAGAGGTGATCCGTAAGGCTTGCCGTACGCTTATGCCCAGACTGCAGACCTTTCTGAGGCTTCGTAAGGTAAGCGGTAAACACAAGGTAGCATTGTGATGCTGAAACTGGGTTTTGTGGGATTGCTGTGTCAGATATGAGATGGTGAACACACTGATTACGTCAGTGCTTGTGAGACTATACTATTGTTTGCTTAAAAGAAGCTGTTGTTTACCCGATAAAGATATTCTACTCAAAGTTTGTTACTGCAAGAGAAGAGGTGACACATGGTCAAATGATTTACTTTTGTTTTGATGCCTTGAACTGAACCCATAAATAAATTGTAATTGTTATTGGGGCATTCCTGTTTTCAAATCATAAAAGAGATTTTGGATGACAATATATAGCCTGCGTGGAACACCAGAATTTGAATTGTAGATAATGCAAATCCATTACCGGTACTTGCACTTGATACGATTTTTGCAGATTGATTTTTACTGTTTATTTTAATACTATGAGAATATAATGAGAAATAATGGGTTTTCATAGCTTGTTCTTGCATTTGTTTTTTACAGCTTTATTTTAGCAGTTCATGTGAAATTAAGCAGTGAGAGCTGTGTACTGCAGTTTAACGTGGATGTTAAAATATTTAAAAAAAAATATTTTTTTCTAATTCTTATATAATTTAATATGCAATGTAATGACTATGTTAATTAAGCGATTAATACATGAATTATTGTACTCAGTCACACTGCATGACATGCACTGAATGTGTGTGTGTGTGTGTGTGTTTGTTTGTGTGTGTGTTTCTCTTCTAGAAACATTTTTAGACAAAAACATTTCTTCTAGGTGTCACACAGAGACAGAGTAGATTAATTTGACAGTATCTGGCAGTTATATTGGCCGTTGTCCACACTCCACCATTATGTGTGTATCAAGCTCTTCTCAAATGTCCATCGTGGAGCGGAAACCTCTGCCCGTTGTTCTGTTTTGATCTTGGCTTCCCTTCCCCAGAGAGTGTGCTGTGCTTTGGAAAACACATTATCTGGATGCATCCAAATTTAGTTTCCAGTTTCCAGAGAAACTTTCACTTGGACTAAACAAACACAGGCTTTCATTAAGAAGGACTCTTGATGATGTTTTTCTGACCTCACATTGTGGATTCAAGTGAGGTTTCACAGGTGTGCGGGTCAAACGTCTACAGCCATGCGCTATGATAGTTCTAACTCAAACTGATGTCATATCCTCACCCCTCATGATGTTTCAAATGCATATGATGCCATTTTCTGAAGTTGGAGTTTTAGGAGTTGGCTATAGCAGAATGCCCAGGCTGCTTTTTTTCCATACAAATCATGATTACGACTCAAGTATACATACTTTAAATTATACTTAAATTATACTACATACTTTATAACTCTAAATGTTTTAAGCAAGATGAGGTGAATAATATTTAATTTTTTGATCAAACTTTCCATTTAAGTGCAGAGACGTGTTCTGTTTGATTGAAGCTATCCATAACAGGAGAAAAAGTGAAGGCCTAAAGATGAAAGCTGGCGAGTTATTTGATTCCACATAAACGTCTTTGTGTCTTTCCTGAATCGAGGGAGCGGTTCCAGCGGGATTTTCTCCCCATAGCTCTTTGTTTTCATTTAGGTTTCTATTGATAGATCTATTGAGATGAATAATGGAAGTTCTTGCATGGGATATAGACAGAAACACTCAGGGCCTAAAACTATTTTTTTGCCACACCGGCCTATGGCCGGTGACTTAAGTAAATTTACCGGGCAAAAATATTTTTTACTAGCCATGAAACCGATGTTGCAAAAAAGGCAGTTATGACCAATACCACAGCTAAAACTACTAGTCTAACTAATATAACTTAAAAGTAATCAAATGTAAAACGACACTGGGGTAGTATTCGCTCGCTGTATAAATAAACATTGTTTAATCCTTATTGAAGGTGCAAAAGTTATTCAGTCAGGAGCAGTGAGTCATAGTTTTCTTTGTCTTTTGCTGTTTGATTAACCTTAAAAACAGACAGTAAGACTAATGCTGCCTTCATGTGCTATTAGAAATGTCTTACTTACTGCTTCTGAAGTTGTGATTATAAGCTTGTCGTATTCAAGTGCTTTGTTGTTGGAAAGAACAGGAATCATGCATGATCGAGACCAGGTTTACGCTTGCCTATTTTTGGGAAAACCTTATTAAAGCCAAAATGATATTTAGCATCCCATTCATTGACAACAATATAAACATTCACCACGCTATCTAGACAGCTTGCTGACGATTCTGGAATTTTGGTTAAACTCGTGAACTCGGGTATCAAAATTATTCCCGAACTTCCCAGTAAATACAACTTGGGCGTTCAAGTCCAATTTTTAACTTGGAAACTTGTATTTACGATAATTCTGATAGCATGCAACGGTAGCCTAATGCAGGCATCTAATATACTGTTACACATGTGTTGTCTTTCTCAACTGTTTACGTTCACTTAAGACATAACTGACTATGTTTACTAGGATACTTGCAATTTTTTATGTAAATTTGTCTGTTGAAGCGCAAGACGACGTGAAAGGGAGCTCAATTCATTATTTGCCTGCTGTCGAGACGTGGCTTTCTGGGCGTGCTTCGGATGTGTGCACAGTAATGAATTGAGCTCCCTTTTGCGTCTTCTTGCACTTAAATATTTAAATTGACTAAGCTTAAACTTCCGTGACGATGCAGCACTGACCTGTCAACTGTCCCAAATGTTGTTCATGTTTTCACAAGATTGCGTTAGAATGCATAAAAATGTTACCGACCAACTGGTGATTCACAATGTTTCATTGTGACAGTTGACAGTATACTCACCAACGTCAATTTTTACTCTCATTTGGGGCTTGGCAAGTGTTAATTTTAGGCCCTGGATACACTCCTCACTTTGACATGAAAAAATGTTAGTGTTGTGTTCCATGGGATGTGGTTTCAATTGTATAAAAGTTTACCAGTTAACTTTTTACATGGTTTCCACTGCTTATGTACACCACAAAATTAGAAAAGTCCAATGAAATGTTAAGGGTAATGCTTTCAATCTTTGCTACTAAAGTAGCCTGGATGCCAGCCCGAACCCCGCCCACAACATTTTTTGATCGGGAAGTTCGGTCTGGACTCGCTCCATTGAGGAGTAATTATGATCGGTTCAGAAATCGTCGGGCCAATCAAATTGCCAGGGCGGGCTTTATACGATGATGGACAGATGATCTGCAGGGACGTAATCCTCACGTTATCAAAGAGCGCTTGGGTTGAACTGGTTTCCCTCACAGATGACTGCCGCTGGAGAACTGAGATGTAGAGATTCCGCTATCGCGTCCGTTGTAAAAGAAATCGACAGCGCATTCATTTTAAAAGACGAACATAGAACTGCAATCAAGGCATTTGTCGATCGGAAAGATGTGTTTGCCGTCCTTCCTATGGGATTCGGCAAAAGTTTAATTTATCAGCTGGCTCCGATGGTAACTAAGAAGATGGGCAATGAAAACCCTGTGGTCGTTGTGTGGTTTCTCCTTTGGTCGCACTCATAGAGGGCCAAGTAAAAGAAGCAACACTTGTTATTTTACTTCTTCCAGCGTGCGTGCATTTGAGTTCTGTAGTTGACAACTGTGCTATGCAAAGTAGTTGACTTACTGCGTTGCTCTCATTGGTTGTAGGTCTATCCAATTGAGTGCAGAGGTTTTTTTTTTCCTGGTTCGGTTAAGACACGCCTCATAATCAAAGCCCTATGAAGCAGAATCAGACTCACATTCTGACTAGAATATGAGTATGACGAAGTCAGGCTACTACTAAAGTCAAACTATGTTAAACTCATTATTTTGGACCTTCCAAAGTAGTCCATGGAACATTTTTCTGACTGAAATTATTTTTTTTTGCTTTTGGCATCTCCTTATAATTCTGTAACTTCAATTAATTTAAATATGTAATGCAACCATGAAGGTCAGTAGATGATGACTATATATATTTTTTCATCTTTAGATGAGATTTAGTCTTGTAAAAGCAGCCATCATACCTAAAACATGTCCTCTCTCTCCCCAGATTGAGAATGACCCCACCACTGCAGTGTATGCAAACGTTACTGACCTGAAGAAGACCGTTCCGCGCTCTTCAAACTCCTCTGTCTCCACCTGCTCCTCACCGGGCATCGCCCTCAGTCCCGGCCCAGACTCCGCCTGCTCGCCCAGCTCGGCCGGATGGCAGGTCCATACTGACCACGACAGCGGTAAGGAGTACTACTACCAGCCTTCCACAGGAGAGAGCAGTTGGTCTGATCCCCGTAGCCCTAACCCAGGAGCTGGTATGGAGTCTGTGACCTCCCCCATGCCTGTGTCCTCCCCATCCTCAGCTCACTCGCTGGGCTCTGACTGGGAGAAGATTTTGGATGAGACCACTGGGAGACATTATTATTATAATCACGGTTCGAAGCAAACCTCTTGGACTGCCCCGGAGCCATCGCCACCTCCGTCATCCACGGACGTGGCACACAGTCATGGCAATGAGGCGGATGAGCCGGTAAGATTCTGCCTGTCTCTATATCTCTCTATCTACAATACCATTTGACGGTTGTTTTTTTTTTTAAATAAATGAATCTTGTATTCAGCAAGGATGTATTACATTAAAATGACTTTAAAACCGGCCGTTAAGACATTTATAATGTTACAAAATATTTCTATTTTGAATAGATGCTGTTCTTTTGAACTTTATATTCATCAAAGAATCCTGATCAAATGTATCCCGGTTTACACAAACATGTTAAGCAGCACAACTGTTTTCAACATTGATAACAATAAATGTTTCTTGGGAATACATAAATGTTTCAAATCAGCATATTAGAATAGATTTCTGAAGGATCATGTGACTGAAGACTGGAGTAATGATGCTAAAAATTCAGCTTTGCTTCAGGAATAAATTACAATTTAACGTATTGTTAAATTAAAGTAGCATTAAATTACAGATCTATCTGTCTGTCTGTCTATTAATCTTTTATGAATTTTTTGCATCCTCAGCCACCCCTTCCTGATGAGGACTACCCAGCGAATCAGCGTGAAGATTCCCTTATATCACTTCAACTCCCTAAAGATTTTCATTTGCACCAAATCAAGCATGCCGTCATCCCTAGGGCTGTTATGGACACACGTAAAGATGTCCATCTGGGCTGGACTCACTCCGTAGGGGCCGATGGGAAAACTGTCTACACAAATGAACTCACTCATGAACAGGTGATGAGGGCTTATCAGAATTATTGTATTACTACAATGAGCATACACTACTAAACAGACTGTGAAAAAACTATATTTAATTTATATATTTTCTTTGTCGTTTTAATGCGTGTCACTGTAAAAAAAAAACATAGCAGAATTATGACTAATCTTTTGTGTGTATTAGTGCCTCCTTTTGGTGCCTTCATAATACTGCAACTGCACATGGCAACATACTGAGGACATATTGCAAATGTATCAAACCAGCTCCAAACTTTTTTCACATTTTCTGCCCCTAATTTGGTAGACAATCATGGGGAAAATAATTGGAATGTGTTGAAAGATTTGTCAGAGATTTCTGTAGCTGACTTATATCACCACATCATTTAAGCTCAAATTATTTTATTTTATTTATCCAAATCATGTTGTGGCCAGGTCAAGTCTTCTTTAAAAATAAATAGCTTAAAAAAACAGAAATGTGTTTCACAAAATGACTGACTAATATTTTTGTCTCCCAATTGCAGTGGTTCCAGTCTATGGATGACAAAGGGAAGTTGTTTTACTACTTAAAAGGGGGATCTAAATGTCAGTGGACCCTTCCAGAGGTCTGTGTATGATTTTGTTTCATTTATCATTCTGTATTTGTGTTATTTTTTTTGTTGTCTTTGTTAAATCGAAAACAATTTATATTCTTTACAAATGCATGTCTCGCCCTGAACTCTGTATATACTCATAAGACCTTTGTTGACTCTTTGTGAAGGCTTCAGTCCCGTCCGGTCAGCCAATGAATGGAAACGGAATAGACCAAGATGCTCAACCTGTTTTGAACAACTGGAGATTAACAATGTTCCAGTTCAACATGCCTCAGGAAGACCTGGTGAGTGTCAGCTCAGGACACGCTCTACCTGGATCTTTTCAAGATATACACAATTCTTTGACTCTTTTTATCCTTTGCTTTTTAAATAGTTAACATTTATCTGACTTCTAAACCCTTAGAGAGGTCAGGCAGATACAGCTACACATAAGCCAACATGTTTCATCAAATTGTGTGAGGGATGCCCTCAAAGCAAAGTCTGTTCTCTCTCATGTGAGACATTTCATTCTCAGCTATTTTCTGCAGCTGACATCACAGGGACCACAACAGGAAGGAAGGAAACATCTGGTATCCGATCCGCACCTCTTTCCACCACCTAATATTCATTTATTTTTCTTTCTCTTCATTTCCTCCATCAGAAATTTTCCCCCTCACACAGGCGGATCGCCTCTGACAACGCCAGTGATGCATCCAGCACAGGGAATTCACCAGAATCACAGCATTACGTATGTAACGTGACCTCTGTTATTTCCAACTCTCATTGGAGCTTTTAACTCATGTCATTTAGTTCCCCAAAACTCATTCATGTGTAACAGTCTCATTCTTATTTTATCATAATTTTGCTCTAATTCATGTTATGTTCCTCTAACTGAATGCATTTCCATACAAGGCCTTGCACCGATTCTGACCAGATGTTTAAGGTCATGTTAATAAAAAAAGGTGTTTTTAAGTCTCAAGTAAACGATTTTCTGATGTGCGGATTTAGTTATCAGCGTTCTGATTTAAATATAGATACGTTGTTTATAAAAAAAATATTCAGTATAGTATGAAAAAAAAGATTTGTGAGAACCCATAATTTTGTTTCCTTTCTCAAGGATAAAAAGTTAAGACGGCGGAGAAACCTGTCCAGTCAAAGCACAGATTCACATTCTCATCATGTGCGTCCTGAGCTTGTTTATTCGGCCTTTTAAGTCATCTGCACTGGTGTCCTAAACTAACATGTCATGATGCATTAGACAAAAACTAACATCACTGCTTGTTCTCTGATGGTCTTGCTTGGCTTTTAAATGTTTGTCATTCATCAGTAGCTGTAGATAATGTTGTTTTGTGGCATGCTATTCTATCATTACTCATTAAACATTCTATGGACAGACCTGAACACACACTTTTTTTAACAACTGTTGCACTCACATCGAACTAAAGTTACCAACAAATCTCTAAGCTCTCTAAGCTCTGAAATGTAGTTCTTGTTTACTTCACTTGTCATTATATAATGTACAAATGGTTTATTTTTAATGTTCAAAAAGAGCTTTTTGTTTGTCCTTGGTTTGATTTATACATGTTTAATCTGACAAACAACCCTTTGTCTTTTGCGTTCAGCAGTCATCGCTGGAGAAGGCTGGGATTCTCAACAAGACCAAAGTCGCTGAGAATGGAAAGAGGCTGAGGTGGGGCGTTGAATTAACAGCTTTTGTCTGTGGTTAAACAGTATAGTCATACTTCACCTAAGTATTGATGGGGAAAAAAGCATGTAAATCTGTTTAGGGGCCGTTTAAACGACACCGTTTTCAACTAAAAATGGAAAACTTTTTAGTTCATTTAAACGACAACTGGGTTTTGGGGGCCTGAAAATGCAAACTTTTGAAAACTGGTTTCAAAGTGTGAGTTTTTGTAACGTCACTGTTATTGTCTCCACTGTTACCCTCCATGTAGTGTTTCTTGACAAAGTGACATCGCCAACTACTGGCCTGGCATGAATAATACAGCTTTTTTAGTCGGTTTCGTGGATCCGTGTGAACGGGATCGTTTTGACAATGTTGTCATCTGTACGCGAAAAACACTAAGGAAGAACTTCCGTTTTTAGCACATTGTTGTCGTGTAAACATACCCTTAGTTTTTATGTTTTACCTTAGGGCAGGGGTGAGAAATTCTGTTCCTAGAGATCTACCGTCCTGCAAAATTCAGCTCCAACCCTGATCAAACACAACTGAACCAGCTAATAAAGATCGTAAGGGCCCAGTTGTTTGAAAGTAATCAGATCGGATTTCGGCTATCAGATTGGATCAAATCTTGAAAATGGGTTGTTCAAAAGAAAAAAAAAAGGATTCTGAAATCAGATTAGATCACAAAATCCAATCCTGGTTTTGATCTGGATCGAACCATCAGTTTGTGTTCAAAACTTTTTAGTAAGATTGGATACCTTTGATCCAATAAAATCAGGATTATACTGATCCCAGCAGAAGGGTGGATTTCAGGAACAAATATGTAATAAAACTTCAATACTGGTCAAATGTAGTACACACACACATGTATTTTTTTATTTTGCTCTTGATTAGTTTAACTTTTAAAGTAATTAATTAGAAGTAGACATTAGGCAACCTATTAAGCCTTTCAGAAGCCTACAACAGTAAAGTAAAAAAGAGATTATTGTGCCATAAACAGCTGTAAATATTAAACCAAAATATGATATTTCATTTAGTGTTTTTGTAATATTTGTAAACTACATTGGCACAATCATAAGAGATGAACCAGTCAAAAGCATTGAAATATGACTCTGCAGGTATAGGTAGATCTCCAGGGCCCAGTTAATGTGTTTTTTCAACTCTGAAATGTTGAAATCCTGCTGCTGTCTGTGCAGGAAGAATTGGGCGCAGTCGTGGACCGTTCTCCATGATGGCATACTCACTTTCCACAAAGACCCTAAATTTACACCTGCTGGGATGTCTGTAAGTTTATATTTATATTTGAGGTTATTTAGGATTATATGTAAATCTACATGCTCATTTTTATCCTATATTTTTACATTTAGATTACCTTTGCCATCATCTTTAAATCTTTTAAAAGATGATAATTTAAAGGGATAGTTCACCCGAAAATGAAAATGTTGTCATCATTTATTTACCCTCATGTTGTACCAAATCTGTATGAGTTTCTTTCTTCTGCAGAACAGAAAAGAAGATAATTTGGAGAATGTTGGTAAACAGGCAGTTGACGGTAGCCATTGACTTTCATAGTAGGAAAAGAAAATGCTATGGAAGTCAATGGGCATCGTCAATTGTCTAGTTACCAACATTCTTCAAAAAATGTTTTTGTGTTCAACAGAAGAAAGAAACTCATACAGGTTTGGAACAACTTGAGGGTAAGAAAATGATGACATAATTTTCATTTCGGGTGAACTACCAAAATAATTTAATAATACATTTAAATGTAATCTTTGATTAAGTTTACTGAAGAAAGCTACTTTCATATAAACTGATTACCATTGGGTTGTCTCCTGCAGACCAAGTCCAATCAGATTGTCCCAGAGTACACCGTGGAACTGAAAGGAGCAACTTTATCATGGGCATCTAAAGAAAAGTCAAGCAAGAAGAATGTTTTAGAGGTAATCACTGTGACTCCGTACAGTCTCTGGAAATAAATAAACAAAGGACTTGCATCCTGTGAAATTTATTACATTGCTTTTCCTAGAATTAAGACTGAATAGTTTATCTGAATTCAAATCTGTTCCATTGTCATCAGTTTAGTCATAGGCCAGTGTGACTGACTGTGACCTTTGTTTTGGCAATAAAACACAAATGCTGTTATAACTCTTGCACTATTATGAACGTGTTGCAGTTTAAGGTGTGTTAAAGCCTAGAAGTATGTTATCTTATGCACAAATATGTTCATTTATAGCTTTGATATTGATTGCTGGCAATAATGGTTGACTTTTGCCCTTTAGAGATTTTCTTGTAGGCATATACAGTCCATATTTTTTAATATTAAAGCCTGTAATACTGTCCATGTCACTGAGCAGCTCAAGACACGTCATGGCTCTGAGTATCTGATACAGTATGACACAGACAGCATCATACATGACTGGCACAAGATCATTTTGGACACGATCAGACTGCTGGTGAGTGCTGCCCCATGCTGGCCACATACAGTATAACACAAAATCTGAAGTTTTTTTTACCCCCTCACATTTGCAACATTTGCTTAAAACGATGTCAAAAATATGTATGTTGTGATCTTTCACAGCATGACCATGGCCATTACTCAGAGGATGAAGTGGAAGAGATCCCAGACAAATCTCCATTGCTTGCAGACAAAGAGAAGAAGACTGAGTGTGAGAAATTGGATCAGATGCACATCACATGCATAACTGTTATCAATGACTTAATTCAGCATCTTTGAGTTTTTACACATTTTTCTTATAGCAACACGACTGAGTTCAACAAATAGCATAGACACAGAACAGGGCCGTGTCCGTACCAAGCTACGCAAGTTCCTCCAGAGGCGTCCCACCTTACAGTCAGTCAAAGAGAAGGGCTACATCAAAGGTTAGTATCAACTTTTAGCCTTTCAGCGTGAATTTAAACAGTGACACTGTTCAGTCCATACATATATAGAAGACTCATATCAATGAGAAATTGACTGTAATGGACTGGTTCTTATCTTATTTTCACTTCCTGTTCTAATATAGTAAATGATTTTAACTTTCAATTTGTTCCTTTGTTTACAGAGAATGTGTTTGGCTGCCACCTAGATACCCTCTGTCATCGGGAAAACACAACCGTGCCCAAGTTTATGGAAAAATGTATCAGAACTATTGAGAAAAGGGGTAAGCGATAATTTTGCCATTTGATAACAAGTTTGAGTTAAGGCCTGTTCACACCAAGGACGTTAAATATATAACGATAAAGAAATCTTTTAAGAGGTGGTCCACACCTCTACTATAAAGATAACAGCACAGAGAAACAAGAATCACTTTCACAACTATTTATTTCCATCTGATAAACGATAAAAGCATTGACAGCCAATCAAAATTCTTCCTTGAGCATTTAAAGCGGTGGACAACAAAACTGCAGCATGGTTCTAATAAACAAACAGATATAATAAAATTATCGTTCTTGGTGTGAACGGGCCTTAAGAAAAGTAATCTAAAGTGTCAGTGTCTGTTTGCCTGGTGCAGGTCTGAAAATAGATGGAATCTACAGAGTGAGCGGGAACCTGGCTGTCATCCAGAAGCTGCGATTTAAAGCTGATCATGGTAAACGAAAACTAGATGCATCATGAAAGATCACCGCAATTACTTTCATTGTGTTTAAACCGTTTCACTGTACACATCCACCATTTAGCATTGAGTTGTTCACTATATCACAGTGAATTTATAGACTACTCTGGAAATAAACAAAACACCATAACTGCTACAGCTATAGTAAAAGATTTTATTCTGAATTGTATTTAAAAAATTGGTTTTAAAATGTTCTCAGGACATTTTTTATTTTTTTATTTCATCAAATGTCAAATTGAAAGAGCTTACATAGTTTTCTTACAAAGCAGTAAGAGTTTGTTTTTAATTGTTTTGTCATTGTACTTTAACTATTCTGCTCTAAAAAATGTTAACTATATATCAAGGTTTTAAATAATAAGTATAAAAGTATTATAAATATAAATTGTTAATGCTGTAAAATCATAATAACTTAATGTGAGATCTCCTTCAAACAATGATTTCTTATTTTCCAAAAAAGTGTGTTTTATTGACGATACAAAACTGTATTTTCCTTTCTCTCTGTAGAAGATGATCTGGATCTGGAGGACGGGCAGTGGGAAGAGATCCATGTGATCACAGGAGCTTTGAAGCTTTTCCTACGTGAACTTCCTGAGCCTCTATTCCCCTTCAGCTTTTTTGATAGGTTCATCGCAGCCATTCGTGAGTATAACTGTCCTGTTTTAGAGAACAAATGAGTGGGTGTACCTAATAAATCTGTTGATTTTTTTTTTTAACAGAGTTTGTTAGATAGTAAAAATAATATCTTTTTGACATGGATGTACAGTATGTTTGCTTTGACAGCGATTTGATATGATTCTTTACTAAAAGATGCGTTGCATCATGAACTCTGAAATGTGGGACTTATTTGATTATTATATCTATAAATTCAATTCACCGGGATAAAAATCAAGAATTGTACTTTCTAGAAATGAGTGACTACAGCCAGAAAGTGTCGTATATACGAGATCTGGTGAGAAACTTGCCTTTACCCAACCACGACACCATGGAGGTTCTCTTCAAACATCTCCGAAAGTATGGACTTCTTTTTTTTTTTTGCTCCGTTTTAATGTAGTATATGTCAGTAGTATGATGAGCATCTTTGTCACATATATTGGTTTTGTCTGTTGAAGTACTAATCCATTTACCCATCTTTCAGAGTAATTGACCATGGTGAGCAGAACCGCATGTCTGTCCAAAGTATGGCCATCGTGTTCGGCCCAACGTTGCTGAGACCGCAGGAGGAGTCCAACATCACCATGCACATGGTCTTTCAGAACCAGATTGTGGAGCTCATACTCAACGAGTTCAATGAGCTCTTCCAACCCAAATGAAATTACAAAATGGTAGGAAAGATAATACAACCATCAGCACATCTTCTGGCGTTCCCATCATCTTTCCAGAGAAATGAACAAGGTTACTGTTTTCTGTCCACTGATTGGATATTGACTTACCCATTCAATATTTCTTTTTTATTAGAACTAATCAAAACGTCTCAACCAATAAGTGCCCTGTGAAACATCAAGAGGATCTGCCTTGTTCTTGAATGCAATCTGTGTTTTTGGTACCGACCAAAATCAAGAGAACAAAAAGCCAAAGGGACCATCAGCCGATATGATCAAACAGATCTTATAAAGAAAGGCTAATTCTAATTTGTCAAGGTTTTATGTTTGAGATGAGACCGTTGAAGAATGAAAGAAAAGAAAGAAAAGTTCTCAGTAAGAAATAACTTACAACAATTGCTTTGAAGATATTAGACAAGCAGAGCATTGTACTTGTTACTGAATAATATACTGTATATTATTGCTACTCATCCAAAACAGTTCCTGTGGAACAACAGCATTTTTGAATTAGCTAAACAAACAAGGTTTTTCCTGTGAGATTTCCATGCAGATGTTGAATGAACAAGTAAACGGTATGGACATTTGCTTGATTTGTAATATTTCTCTGAAAGAAGATCTTGATGATGAAACCTGGGTTTTAAAGTGCTTGATCACCAATGTGGAGGAAGCTCTAGACCTATGAACTGTATTGCTAAGGAGACTGAGAAGAAACTGTATACTGACTAACATTTTTCTTGAAGATCTAACATGTTTTGTAAAATACTGACAGTACAATGTACAGACGTATGTATGAAAACAAATATGAACAATGGAACATTATGCAGTAAAGTAAAATGTGGATGTTGAATACAAACTTTGTGGATGTAGACTAAAGCTGTACATATTTTACATATGTTGTTTATATAAAAGTATGGTTAAGAAATAATTGGCAATTTAATTTCATTACAGAGATAAATAGTCTGTAAATAAAACAGATTAACCATATTTAATTTTATGCAAATATGTGCATAGTTTTTACACTGGTAATTACTGAAATCTAGGAAATATATCAAGATATAAGAAATAAATGTTATTAGTATTAAAAGAGTGCATATACAATAATAATTTTGCAAGTCAGATGAAAAGTATGTACATCAATTTAAGATAGTGAACAGATATTATCACTGGACTATATCTATGCAATGTGAGAAATTATAAATAAATATGGTGCCTTCATTTTCACTCTTTGGTTTCCTGTCTTTGTTTATTGTTCCCTGAGATATTTTCAAGCATTAAATGACCAGTTTGGGTTACACTTTATTTTAAGGTGTCGTTGTTACAGTGTAATTATATATTTAAGTACTGAGTAATAATAATTAACAACATGTACTTAGGGTTAGGGTAGGATTAGGTTTTGGTTGAGGGTTAATTGCATGTAATTATGCATAATTTACTCTTATTACTACGGTAAGTACATGTAACATATTGTAACAAGGACACTGTAAAATAAAGTGTTACCCAAGTTTGTCAATTTTAAACAAGATTATAGTTTTTTAATTGTCAAAAATGTGTGATATGTGATTAAGATTTTTTTTTTTTAATTACGCATTATACTACTATATCTTCCTGCACTACACTATTTATGGTTGTTTATAATTATTTAGTCTTTTTATGGACTAAAATTATAGTCTTAAATAGTCCAGTAGTAAAAGCAAATAATACAGGGGGGGAATTCCTACATATAATGCATAGAAAGAGAAAATTAGTAGAACGTACAACTAAATTTTAATTATTTTCTCATTGGGAAATACATTATGAATCTATTTGTTTCAGGTTTGGTCCTCCATAACGGAATAATAGATTAAGGAGTTTTAATTTACCTTCTGTCATACTAATGCCCAGTTTCACAGACACGGCTTAAGTCTAGTCCTAGACTAAAATGCATGTTTGAGCTGTTTTAACTGTAAGCACACGTTTTTTTTTAAGGCACGTTTAAAAAAGCTACTTAAATGTCCTAATTTAACTATCTAACTACTCCTGGCTTAATCTAAACCCTGTTGAAAAAGTCATAGCCAAAATACAGTATTCCTCGTAGTTAAAGCGACACCTCCTGGTTGTTCACAGCGAGACACCTGACGTTTCGCATATGGATGATTTGATTGGTGCAGCGTCTGACGTCACAGAAGACGGAACAAACATGGAGGGAAAGCCTCAGAACTCGTCCTCAGCAGCGCCGAAACATCTTACACCTGCCCAGAAACAGCTGCTTAAAAGACAGCAGGAACTGGAATATTGGAAAAGGCACTCAAAACAAATCCGCAGCCGTAATTTGATCTCGGGACTGACCATCGGAGCCTTTGTGGTGGGCCTATGTATCCTTCAGTTTCATAACATGACAGCTGAGCCTCAAATTATTTATTTTCATTAGTGGATAAACATCGTTGTGCACATTTAATTTAAAAACTATATAATAAATACTGCTCATACTTTCCTACTCTGGGAATTTATTTTAGAACGTTAATTTAGAACGTTACTGGTATTATTATTTTTATTTTTTATATGGTAACCAGTTTCTTATACCATCGTTAATACAGTAAAACTGTGTTTACTTAGTATTAGTATTAGCTAAGTATGAAAAGTATGTATACATATAGTGTGTGTATATATATACATATACACAGAACATTCCTAACCCTGAAGGCCATTCCATATAAACGTAGGCTAACGTTATACACTGCCGTTCAAAAGTTTGGGATCGGTAAGTTTTTTTTAGGTTTTTAAAAGAGGTCTCTTATGCTAACCAAGGCTGCATCAAGGCTGCATTTATTTGATTAAAAATACAAAACAAACAGTAATATTGTGAAATATTATTACAATTTAAAATAACTTTTTTATTTGAATATATTTTAAAACGCGTTTTATTCCCGTAATGACAAAGCTGAATCAAATAGATATAAATAATTCTAATATGATGTTTCTTTGCTGCTCAAGAAACATTTCTGATTATTATCAATGTTGAAAACTGTTATGTTCATTTTTTTCAGGATTCTTTGATGAATAGAGTTCAAAAGAACAGCATTTATTTGAAATAGAAAGCTTTTGTCACATTATGAATGTCTTTACTGTCACTATTGATAAATTGAATGCATCCTTTCTGAATAAAAGTAGCCTATTCATTTCTTTCCAAAAAAAAAAAAAAAAACTTTTGAACGGTAGTGTATAATGTTATCCTGGATGCCAGCCGAACTTAGCCCCACCCACAACATTTGAGGATGGGAAGTTCGGTCTGGACTTGATCCTTTGAGAAGCAAGTATGCCCGAACCAAAGCTGTTCGGACCAATCAAATTGTCAGGGCGGGCTTTATACGACGATGGACAGATGATCAACAGTAACGTAATCATCCACGTCACCAAAGAGTGCTTGGGTTGAATTCGTTTACAACAAAGAATGGGTGCCGCTGGAGAATTTAGACAGATTCAGAAATCGTGTCTGTTGTAGAAGATGTAGACAGCGCATTCATTTTAAAAGAGGAACAGAGAATTCAATTTGTCGATCCAATTGAGTGCAGAAGCATTTTCTTTCCTGGTTCGGTTGAAACACGCCCCATTAAATCACAGCCCAATAGAGCAGTATCAGACTCACATTCTGACTAGAATCTGAGTATGACGACGTCAGGCTAATGTTACAAAAGCTTTATATTTCAGATAAATGCTGTTCTTTTGATTTTTCTATTCATCAACATTGATAATAATAATAATAGCCTAAATGTTTCTTGGGCAGCAAATCATCCTCTTACACAGATTTCTGAAGGACCAGGTGACATTGAAAACTGGAGTAACGATGCTGAAAGTTCAGCTTTGTCATCACAGGAATACATTACATTTTAAATATATTCAAACAGAATTTTAAATTGTCATAATATTTCACAATGTTACTTTTTTTTTTTGTATTTTTAATTAAATAAATGCAGCCTTGGTGACAGAAGAGACTTTTTGTCAAAACATAAAAAATCTTACTGATCCCAAACTTTTGAATGGCAGTGTATGATTCATCTTAGTAACACTGGTATTTTTGTGGCCCTTTGTTTATCACGTGATTTAAAAAAAAAAAAAAAAAGAGAACCAAAGGACAGTGACCAAAGTACAATAAAGATTTCCATGACTCAAAAAACATTGTATTATCATGGTACCATACAGTATCTAAAAAATTATGGTAGCACCATAATCCATTTCTTTCTGTTAAATATGTTAATAGCACATGTTCACATAGGCTACTCATGATCCATTTGTGTGACTTAATGGCCTTAACTACTACATCCATCCATCAGTCAGCTACACTATTCTCTCAGTCAGGCAGGAGAGAATCATGGACGAGATTGATGACGAGGCAAAGACCTTCGTCATGAAAGGGCCTCGGACGGGGGCCAACTCTTAGTCTTAGTGATGCTGAAGGAGCTCCAGCTGTGCAGTGTTGACAAGACAGTCAACATTTGTCTTGATGTTTGAGACTGTTGATCTTTTGCATACAGTCTCAATGAACATGTATTTTCCAGTGGCCACATTATGATACAAAGCAAAATGCAAAAGCCCTCATGAATGCGTATTTCACTAAGGAATGATTTCAATAAAGATTTATTTATTTGATTCATTCCTTGTCTTTGCCTTTTCTCATGTTATAATCGTTACTGTAACTTTAAAAAAAAGTATTCCACTAGATGGCAGTGTGTGCAGTCCCATCAGGAGGAGGTGATTGTAATTTGTTTTCACAGTATATACTCATATCTTGATAAGCTTTGGACAAACTGTACCTCTCCGGCCATGTGTCACTCAAGAACAGTACGGATGTATTGCTTATTACGGAACAAATTGATTATTGATATAGAGGGCAGGATTTTTCGGAGAAAATTGGAGAATATAACAAATGTCGTTCTTTATGTCATAATGAAAAAATTGTACATACAGTATTTATAACAATCCTAAGATCTGCAAAGCCGTTGCCCATAGAGCTAGCTATGCGAAATTTAACTTTTGCAACCTTTTCCACTCTGATAATATTCTTACTGGGGATGTTAAAGAAAAATTCCAAGTTACATATATTTAAGCTCAATTGTGGCGTGATTTTGACTAAATAAACTTGCTTTAAAGAAAATCAAAAATGTGGATTACAGTGAGGCACTTACAGTGGAAGTGAATGGGGTAAATCCATAAATGTTAATATTCTATTTTAATAATATACCCACAAGACATGGGGAAAAATTGCTTACTAACTTTGTGTGCAAAGTTAGTTACAATTTTGATGCCATGCCATTAGTCTAATTATTAATTAATAATTAGTCTAATAACTAATCAACTTCAAACAACTCTCTCTCTCTCTCTCTATATATATATATATATATATATATATACACTCACCGGCCACTTTATTAGGTACACCTGTCCAACTGCTCGTTAACACTTAATTTCTAAGCAGCCAATCACATGGCGGCAACTCAGTGCATTTAGGCATGTAGACATGGTCAAGACAATCTCCTGCAGTTCAAACCGAGCATCAGTATGGGGAAGAAAGTTGATTTGAGTGACTTTGAACGTGGCATGATTGTTGGTGCCAGAAGGGCTGGTCTGAGTATTTCAGAAACTGCTAATCTACTGGGATTTTCACGCACAACCATCTCTAGGGTTTACAGAGAATGGTCCGAAAAAGAAAAAACATCCAGTGAGCGGCAGTTCTGTGGGCGGAAATGCCTTGTTGATGCCAGAGGTCAGAGGAGAATGGCCAGACTGGTTCGAGCTGACAGAAGGGCAACAGTGACTGAAATAACCACTCGTTACAACCGAGGTATGCAGCAAAGCATTTGTGAAGCCACAACACGCACAACCTTGAGGCGGATGGGCTACAACAGCAGAAGACTCCACCGGGTACCACTCATCTCCACTACAAATAGGAAAAAGAGGCTACAATTTGCAAGAGCTCACCAAAATTGAACAGTTGAAGACTGGAAAAATGTTGCCTGGTCTGATGAGTCTCAATTTCTGTTGAGACATTCAGATGTTAGAGTCAGAATTTGGCGTAAACAGAATGAGAACATGGAACCATCATGCCTTGTTACCACTGTGCAGGCTGGTGGTGGTGGTGTAATGGTGTGGGGGATGTTTTCCTGGCACACTTTAGGCCCCTTAGTGCCAATTGGGCATCGTTTAAATGCCACGGCCTACCTGAGCATTGTTTCTGACCATGTCTATCCCTTTATGGCCACCATGTACCCATCCTCTGATGGCTACTTCCACCATGTCACAAAGCTCTAATCATTTCAAATTGGTTTCTTGAACATGACAATGAGTTCACTGTACTAAAATGGCCTCCACAGTCACCAGATCTCAACCCAATAGAGCATCGTTGGGATGTGGTGGAACGGGAGATTCGCATCATGGATGTGCAGCCGACAAATCTGCGGCAACTGTGTGATGCCATCATGTCAATATGGACCAAAGTCCCTGAGGAATGCTTCCAGCACCTTGTTGAATCTATGCCACGAAGAATTGAGGCAGTTCTGAAGGCAAAAGGGGGTCCAACCCGTTACTAGCATGGGGTACCTAATAAAGTGGCCGGTGAGTGTATATATATATGTATATATATACACATATATATAAAAAAGTGCCTTTTTATTTATATATATGAGCTTTTTTGTTTTTTAAGAAAAGGACTATGCAAGTTTCATTCAGAAATTTTATGAATAGATGTTTTTAAAAAGGTTTTTAGCTTAGGAAATTTTAGAGTTTCTATCATTCATTACACTGAAATATTTTATGTAGTTATTTTATTTATATTTTGTATATAGCATTTGATGCTAATATGGCAATAAATTAATTCATAAACAATAATAATAATTATTATTATTATAAAGAAAAGCATTGGCGAGTGGAAATATTTTTTTTTGGTAATGCTTAGTTAACTTGCATATAAGTTATATTGAACCATATAAATTGGAATTAGTTGTATTGACTCATCCATGAAACTAAACTACTCGTGTTTATTCCTTTCCTGGAAACTTGGTTCTGAGCATGTGCCCTACATACAGACCCTGCGCAGGGGCACATAGGGAGGGCAGAAAGGTGATGCTGTTTAGTTTTAGGACATCACTGTTTAGTGAGAATAACAACTGTCATCACCTCTCTCACGTGACCCACTTCTGTCACAAGATTATACTGTATATGTCCTCCTCTCTCAATCCAACAAGATGTTCTTAATATACAAATTATTCTGCAAAAGTTTTAAACAGGGAGGGGTTGATTTGTAGAGAGGCGGAGCAGCTCACGGAGCAGCAATATGTTGATCCTGATAAGCGTGCACACTTACACAAGTCTGTCTTTTGAGCTTGTGTGTCACATGGGTCAGTTCAGAGCCCACTGCAGGCACTAGCTATACAGTATCTCCTAGCTATACAGTATCTCGCTCTGGGGGTCAGAGATATCTCCTCCACACAAGCTCATCTGTAGCTCCATTCTGGACCACATTCATATCTTATTTGTCGTTTTCAGACACGTGATTTTGCTTGTGAAATTCGGTCATTCAGCTCAACTAAGCTTTCCAGTGAAGCCGTCACGAAACGGCAGGCAAACAGCCTTCAGTGTTCTGAGACTGTTTTAGATGACATTTAAGTGCATCGTTCAGTTTGTAGGCCAGACAATTCAACCGCTCAACAGCTCACCCAAAAGAGGAAATTCTGTCATCATTTATTCACCTTCATGTTATTCACTTCACTTCTAAAAATGGATGACTTTGTTTTTTTTCTGTGGAACACAAAAGAACATATTTCAAAGAAAGCCTTTTTTCGTCCATACACTCTTAACCATCCTGTGCTCTTCGCTGGCCGGTCAAAAATGACTGATTTGTTTTTATTATTTCAAATTAGTGTTCTATATTTTAGTTTGATAATGTTTTTTGTTTCATGTTTTGTATTTTAAGGGTTTTGTATCATACTAAATTATTTACGCTGTAGTTATAATCCATTTATTCACTTTATTTTTTACTTAATTATACCAAACATTACTAAATTTCCAACTTAAACAGTCGTAACTCTTGAATGCTTTAAAGCAGACTTAAGTTTGATCTCTTTTCAAAGACTACACTTGGCAAGATTTTTGCTGAAGTGAAAAAAGTAAACTTAGAAAGAGTTACAGAATTTTATGTTTATTGTTATGAAAAATGTACAAAAATACTTTTTTCAATTGTAATGTGAAATATGTATTTTCAAAAACACATTTTACTCTAAAACTGCAAAAAAAAAATCAAAGCCATAAATCTAAACAAGTTGTGTTCCAAATTTGAGCTTGATATCTAAAATAAATGAGCTTTAAGATTTTGTTTGGCCACAATACCAAAAGATTTTATTAGATGAAATTCGTCTCCCATTCATTTCCAATGCGTTCATTTGTACAAGTGTAAATATTTTTCAGGACCATTATGTCCATGATTTTTTGTGTGTGTTTGCATAGCAAGTGCCAAAACCTTTACCAAGTTTCTTACCATTCAGATGAAGTAAAAAATTTAAAAAAAAAAAAAAAAAAAAATACATAAAAATTTTCAGTCAAAAATGACCGAAGAGCACCAGAGGTTTAAATATAAAGGTTCCAATAGGTGGTTTTCACAGCGATGCCATATTAGGATAACTTTTAAGGGTCCCCAAAAGGACCTTTCGATAAACTGTTCTAACCATATTTTTGTTAATGTGAAGAACATTTTATTAATCTAAAGATCTGTTTCCACCATAAAAAACCTTTTGTCCAGTGGAAAGGTTCTATGTTAAAGGTGCTTCATGGAACATAGATTCCAATAAAGAACCTTTATTTTTAGGATTGTATAATGAAGTCAATGGGGTCCAATGTTGTTTGGATACAGTTTTGGACTGGAGGACGATTTACATTTTTGAGTTAACTATCCCTATTCTATTTCCCCTGCCCTGAGTGTTCAATGCTCCTGAGATCACTGTTGTGTAAATGAACATAAACAAGGTTGTCAAGTCACTTGTCGCTGCAGATAAAACCTCCCTGGTGGCCCGCTGGTAGAACAAGACGATTCAAAGTTAATCCTTAGAGTATTTAAGCCAATAAAAACACACACTCGGTCGGAAAAAGATGACTTGTGTTTGAGTGGCTAGACCCTCACGCTTCTGTGCGATCACAAGCAGTCAATGTCCTTTTATTGGACATCAGCTCACTGCTAGGAAACTAAGGCATAAAAACTAAGACAACATTTCAGTGATTGCTGCTGTATGTGAACTGGATAATATTTCTAGTCACATGAAGCCATTAAAAACGTTTGTCGTGTAATGTCACATTGTCAAACATGTCTACTGTATGTGTATCAAAGTGTCTGAGCTTACATCAACATGCCATGAAGATTTTATGCAACTCTGATACTGCTCATCAGCTGATCATCTATTATTAGTTTCTGTTATGTATACGGCCTACTTATTGTAACATGATCATGGGGTCATGACTATATTAAGGGGGTGCACGTACCCCCCAATATTTAGATTAGTGGTTGACTGATGGGTTCACATATTGATTCTTAAATTATTTGGCATGATTCTTGCATGCACCTCAAATGGAATACTGCATGATTTAATCATTTTCAGTACAGAAAGAATTTGTACAATGGCAGTTTTAAGCTTGACTATATGATTGTCATTAAGGGGCTATGACCAACCAATCAGAAATAATTTCATTTTTTCACTTTTAAATAGGTAAGTTTTGATACTTACTATTTGCTTTTTTATTAAGCAGCTGTTTCTTGAATTCACTGTTTCGTGATTTCAAAGATCTGGGTTTCCCTGCACTGAGTTTAACTCAATGACTTTAACTCTCTTGCAACAGACAAACCCAAACGCAGGTTCTTTCAGCATTTATTCCTTTAAACTAAGAATTTTTATTTATGCTTTTATTTTAGATTACTAATTATATTAGGGGCTAATTTCTATTTAATTACTAATTTGCAGACACTTTCCCAATAGTTCCAATGTCAGTGGTAATAAATTGCAAAACTTGAAATTCAGATATTAATGAGAGTGAACTAAAATGATCTGGGGTGAATATTTCTGACCTTCAGATCCTTGTGAAATTTAATGGTAATTTTAAAATGAGCAATTTGTTACCTTAGCCTATTGACTTAGGCTATCAAAGGAATAAGTAGGCTACTAGTATTTAATGAATAAATACTAATTGAACAGATATAGTCACTTTGGCTATAATATCTGACCTAATGAAAGGAATAGGTAGCCTACTTGTTTTTTTTTTTTATAATAATTAATTAATACAGTAATAACATTTTAAAGAGTCAATGTTTGTTGCACGGGTTGCCATAATAGACGACTGTAATATCTGAGACGAGAGGGATTGCAATGTAGCTTGACTGTTAGTGGTCCCTCACAGACTAATTACTAAGGTGTTTTTCCACGGGGAGGAGCAACCATAGCAAAGTAGCGTATTAGACATACACTTGCACTTGGAAAGCGAAGGCACAGCGCGCGCTCAGTAGAGAACGCTTTCGTTACATTTCAACAGAACGTTAACTTGCGTTCTCATTTATTTTATAGTCGCGTTTTAGGTCTAATCTGCATTGCTTTCTTGGAGAAGTTCGTTCTCGAGCTGTTGTTATGGTTTGGAGGGCATATTGTTGAGCTAAATATAAACGCATAGTTGTTATGGAGAAATTCTTGAATGCAAAGACAAATAATGCATTAAATTGTGCGCTGTAATTCTAATGTTAACAGCACAGATATCGACAACAATGTCACAGGCTGAGGTTGACATGGCTGGTCTTGGCTTCCCGAAGTTGCCTGCAGGTTTGGACGCGGACTCGTTCTTCCCAGTTCGCCTGCCGCCGAGACGGAGGAGACACTCGGCAAACTCCAGGAGAAATGCCTACAGGTTTAACAAACTCCACTCCATGGACGTGGAGTCCCAGGAAAGACTCGCGCCTTTGACAAAAACTCTTTCGTGGTCAGCCGACAACATTTTATCGGAAAGTACCAACGAGGAGAAAAAGACGGACTCTTCTCCTCCAATGTCACCTGTCTCCAGCTCACCACCTGAGACGCAAGACTCGGACCCGAGACCGACTGGTTCCTGGGCCACCGAGGAGCCCAGCGCACAGGAGGCTGATGCCAGCTCGGACTCCGATGATGAAAGCACCCAGAAGAAGCTCGTTTTGTCAAGAGCCCAGTTTGAGAGTAAACGCCAGCAGGAGGAAAAGGATGAAGTCGAGACTAAAGCTGTGGCGACTTCACCTGATGGAAGGTTTCTGAAATTCAACATTGAGATCGGAAGGGGGTCTTTTAAGACAGTCTACAAAGGCTTGGATACGGAGACCACTGTGGAGGTTGCTTGGTGTGAACTGCAGGTAAGGATAGGGGTCCTTCTGTCGGTTGAGGTTCGCCTCACGCAACCCAAATTGTCTTATGGCGCCCCTAGCGAAGTTACACCGTGATAAAAGGTATCTTTTCCATGTTAATCAGAGTTTTTGTCCTAACCAACCACGACGGCGAGATTCTATTTTAGAAACTGTTTCTATTTTTCTGCGACGTCGCGCTGGAACAACAAACAAAAAGTGTGGCAATGATAATCTCAGGTAGCCTACTGTTAAACGTGCTTTTTTTAATATTAAAAGCATGCAATCTGACGTTTAATATCATTTAGTGCTCCCAGCTTTGTAGCTAGCAACAATGGATAATTCACCTCAGATCTTAAAAAATAAACAAATGGAAACAAGAACGTTCAAACTGTGAACAAACAAGTGTATTCTTTGACAAAGATTGTTTTAGTAACTAGCCTATGTATTTTTTAATAATGTTTAAATGGTGTAATATTTGTGAATTTGATAATGTTGCCTGATAGTGCCGTCAAGAGGCTACTCACTTGCCGCACGACTCCGCCCACACGCTGTTCTGATTGGAATCTTATCGCATCGCGTCTGGTTATGGACACGGTGTAACTTTTAAACATAACACTAAGGACTTTTTTTCTGTAATGTGATATAGATAAATGATGACAGTAGCCGTGTGTACTTTGGTTTTATCGATACTGTCCGATGCATTTAGGAGACTCTAACTAACTTTATTGGTTCCTAAAACGTTGTTTAAAACATATAAAAATACTACTACTAGACCCAACCTTTTTCTTGGATCTCATTTGAGGGGATGTCTTAATTGTAACTAGCAATTACAGCATAGATGTGTTGCCTATTGGAGCCATCAGGTCAGTCAGTAAAATTGGATATTGCTATAAGGACCAGAGTAAGTTCTGTATGGTCAGAATCTTGTGATGATGATGAGGAAGGGTGTAGGCCTATTTTAAATAATGATAAGCATTGATAGCATTTAGATTGTCTTTGTGTTATACAATGACTTCACCCAGCTGATAGGCTCACCCTATGATGAATGGATGAATGTATTTGTTATCTTTGCACTAGTAGGCAGATTCCCTCTGCATCTGTTCTTCACTGGAAATGATACTGATGTCACATATTTGCAAGGCAATTGATAGGTTTATCAACATGTGACATTTCAGTCTAATCAAGGCAGTGGTTTTCTTAAAATTAAGATGTCATTTTGCAATGATGACACATTGAAAATGCATGATCTCATCTACTCACATGGAGAGCCAGTAGGTTGATTAATGTAAAAGGCTCTATTCAGGAATGGCTTGCTCAAGGTTATGCATGTTGCATTTTTCAGTGGTAAATATAGATGGGTTATTTTATTTTTATTTTCACCTCAAGTTTTTTAAGTAAGTTTTTTCTAGTTTAATACTTTGTGTGTGTGTGTGTGTGTGTGTGTGTGTGTGTGTGTGTGTGTGTGTGTGTGTGTGTGTGTGTGTGTGTGTGTGTGTGTGTGTGTGTGTGTGTGTGTGGATTGTCAAGCAGTTTATAACACGGATAGTCCAGACTCTAAATAAGCTTATTAGTTTATAATCAGCACATTGCTTGATACAATGTTAATCATGTGGATCAAATCTGCTGGATCTGTTATTTTTAACTTTTGAATTAAATTATTTGTTATTTTAACAAATTGAATTAAAGGTTGTAGAGTGTCTGATATAGGCCTATCCTTAATCTTAATTATATGTATGTGTTCTGTTAGCTATGCGTTCACCTTGAATCCAAAATCTAGAATTCTTCTCCCAGGCTTCCTTATGGTGTAATATACAAGGTGTCATGACCACATGTGTGATATGTGATCACATGCTGTGGTTGATAGACGGGGTCATATTAGTTGTCAAGTAAAAAAAATTCTGCAAAAACTTGCATACTAAAACATGTGCACACTACAGATGGAAATGGCCACCCATCCGATTCTAAGCTTTTCAAATCTGTTTTGGGCTAATTCAATAAATCACTATATGTGGTTCTCATTTGGTGGATCGCAGGTTTGGATGGGATGCCAAGAAAATAAACAATGCTAAATGCAAATAAAAATATGCAATTAAACTGTATTTAGGATAGCGAATTACTCTAAATCAACTTTTTAAAGGGAGGAGAAAATGCTTCCCATATTGTTGGTGATTGACGTCAAAGGTTGAATGTCCGAACTCTGTTTTTCAGGTATCACTTGGTAGAAGTTAACCAAATTAGCCAGATCCCAATGTGAACAGTTTGGGTAACATACTCTCATCCTCAAAAAATATGAACAAATCTACGCCTCTGAAAGTAAACACGACCCAAAAGACATTATACACACACACACACACACACACTCAAAAGTAGTCATGCCATTTACATATTTCTACTCAAATGATTTCTGTTTACCCCTTAACGTTAAAATGTTATGGACATTTTTGTTTACTTTTGTAAAATAAACAATTTTGGTACTGTGTTGGGTCGAAACTTTATGTAAATTGTGGGTCCTGAATCAAAACCACTACTGTACAAAGAGCTTAGCATAGACTATTAGACTTCAATTCATGTATTTCTTCATTTGACTCATCACTGCGCAGGTGCACATTACTGTTGTCGTCATTCATTGCCAGTGGCACTTTTCTTGGACAAAGCAGATGATGATCTGTCAACACAGTTTCTGATGAGTGCTTCTTTAGCTCATTTCTTTTCCCCTTGATTTATTCTTGCAAATATTGCAAAATACTGGATATGTACAAAAAGAAAAATCTGTAATGTGAACGTAGCTTTAGAGGAGGTGTTGACTGTTAGAAAAAAGGATGCTTGTTAATCTTTGAACAGCCAGAGAAGTGGTTTTGTGACTTTCCAGTCTACCGGCCCCTGGCCACTCATAGAGAACTTGCTTTCCCCACACAGTTTTATCCGAGAAAGCCATTCTTTGGCGCCACTTTATCCTGCAGTTCATTGTTCTGCCTGCTCATCTCACTGCCTGTGGCGTGCTCATTGAGCTAATCTTCTTGAAAGAGTAGAACATTTATTTTACCCAGAATGCAGTGCTTAATTACCTTGGTCAATGGTCGTCTGGTGGAGGAGAGCTGCCATGGTGACGGTGGCTTGTGACCGCTTGAGGATGGGTCCACGCTCTGTGAAAATGAGACAAGATTTGCTTTGAGACTTAAGGCTGCTAATAGGATTGACTGAAGTCTTTCACTGAGACTCGGCGATCTCTCTTTCACGACGACTTACGTGAAGGGAGATCAAAGTTAAGAATGACTTAACCCAGAGCTTGGCTGCACTGCTGCTCATTCAGTGCATGTGTAGGAATGGCCCTTATATGTGTGTTTAAGACCCAGCCCCTGTGACTTGTGTTGAATCGGTTCACGCTTTTTACATGTTGGTTGTGTTTTTTTTGTGTTTTTTTTGCAAATTTGTTTCAGTAAGATATTTATTGTGAGACATTCTTTACAAATAGATTAGAATTGGATTGCAAAAGTTTCCTTTATATTCTATAATATATATTGAGAACTCAATATTTGCGCACTGTTTGAGACGCAGCTTTCGGATGTGTGCACTGTGCACACACACACATCTTCTCACAGCGCGCTCAAGTTCTCTTTCGCACCTTCTTGCGCTTGAATGTTTAAATTGACAAGGATTAAATGAGTTTACCAGTAGTTTAAACACAGATAGTAAACATGTGCGGTTCAGGTCTCACCTGCGCTCGCGTGATGGCGGCACAAATGACTGGTCATATTAGAGCGTACGGCACTCGCATTGAACAAAGTTTAGGGGAAGCCAGAATGCGAATCCATCGACAGGAAACACGACTCACTGTCTATTTGACGCATAATTATTTTCAACAAACCATATTTTAAATGCGTATGTGTCGTCAGATTTGAGATGAACTGCGGTGCAAGTGCGTGCCGAACAGTGGGTGGAGAACGGTACAGTTCGATTTTTTCCCCGAAAACCATTACACCCTATTTATAGTTTATAGTATTATTAAAAATGTATATATTTTTAAATATATATATCAATCAACATCAGATATTTATGAAATTATTTATATATTAAATGTTAATGTAAATATGCATAATTAATTTGTCTTTTGAACATATAGACTAAATTTTACATTCTTGCCTATCTCTCCGCCTCATTTCTGCTGCTCACTGATTAGAGGCTGAGCATGCTGTGGATGTGTCTAATTCATCGGTCCACGTGGCCCAGCTGTGGGGTCTGATATTGTATTTCCTGTAGAGGGGGGCGCAGGAGCGGAGATGCTAGAGACTCACATGTCTGTCAGGTGGTTGGGCTGGATAGAGATAGAATGTAATTGACAAGCCGGGCTGAAAAAGAGGCCATTGGCCGCAGAACTTGCGGGGGAGGGTGGAAACAAGTATGTCAAAGTGTGTAACAGATGGTCTATCTATGGTGTGTTCATAGCTAGCTTAGGGTCAGCCAGTTGTGTGGGTATAGGTTAATTTAATGAATTCAGAAAACCTGTGCAGAACTGAAAGCCGAGCTTGGTGCAGCTAAAATGTAAATGAAATATAATTTGTAACTGCACAAAAAGTCTGTAAAAATAGGCCATCATGTATATGTTAAGGAAGGAGTTGTCCATATTGATTTTTAACTTATAGTTGCATTTGCTTTAGGATTAATGGAAATGTAAAATATTGTGAAAAATATTCTTGTATTTCTTTCCCCGGTGTCCATTCATGTCTAAATTATTTTTGGGGATTTTTGTCTTGCCATTGTTTATTTTTCAATAGTACAGCACCAGTATATCTTATTTATGGCTAAGTGCATACTATTTATTTGCACTTGTGTTATAAAAAGGGGCTGCAGGCTTGTGGCTTTTGAAGGTGGATTAACTCCGAAAAAAATCGTTCCCTCACAAGCATTCATCATCTTTCTAAGCTGCAAGCTGCATAAGAGTTTGCCAACTCCCCAGCTTTGTATAATGTAATAACCAGCCTGAATGTCTCTTGAGTTTCTCTTTAAAATGA